CGCCCCTGACTGGACACTGGGGAGGCTGCCCCTCTAATCCTGGGCTCAGTTTTGGGCCCCTCACTCCCAGAAGGACCTTGAGGGGCTGGTGCATGGCCAGAGAAGGGCAACAAAGCTGGGTCTAGAGCCCAAGTCTTGTGAGGCCGTTCCTACAACTGTGCTACACCTCAAAAGGAGAGGAGCTGTGCACTCCTACTTCTGATTTTGTGCTGATTTTGAGAAAACTCACCCAGCAGCAGCCCATTGGGCCAGGGGGGCTGCGGGGAGCCCTCGATGCAGGTGGAGGTGGGGCCTGTGCAGGCTTGGAGCAGAGCACAGGGTAAGCAGCTGAGCTGCACCCAGAGCTGCTGCCTGTGCTTGGCCTCCACCAGCCTCACCTGCTGGTAGGTGTGCAGCTGTTTCCTTCTTCACACCAGCTCCTGGAGGTTTCTTTTTCAGCTCCTCTGTGTTGATGTTCCCCTCCAGCTTCTTGGCTCGATGGGCTTTCGCCTTGTCCTCTGCTTTGACAAGACCTGTAGAGAAAGAGGAGTTTTATTCAGTACCCTCACACCAACTCAGACTTACCAGGCAAAAAAGATCTCCACCTCTAACCCAGGGACACTGAGCTGGCTGTAGGTCTGCTGAGGCTGCATGTGTAGGATCAGGTCCACAATTATGACAAGCAGTGTCGTAACAGCTCGTGGTGTTTTATAAACAGAATTGTTTCCCCCAGCCCAGACAGTGTAGGAGCTACAGAAAGCCCATGGCAAGGTGGGGTAGGATGCTCCCAGCAAGGCAGACTGTGGAGAAGACAGGCTGGGGAGGAGGTAGAAGGGTATTTTGGAAGAAACTGAAAGGGGGAAGTGGAACAGCAAATTCAGGATATAAACTGATGCTCCTGCACTTGGAAAGGCCAAGTGCTTATGCCAACAAACACCTGGGCTGACCTAAGGAACAGAAAACATGACTTGTAAACAAGGATTTGGAAAGGCTGGTGCAGAGAGGAGGGAATTCCCCCCACCCCCCAATCCACGTGCAGTTTGGGCCTGTGCCTGAGCTTCTACAGAAGGTGCTGGAGCAAACACAGCAACACCATAAGTGCCAGGGTCAGATTCTGCCCCACAAGGGTCCATGGGTTGTAGACAGCACCCTGCCACAGTCTGGTGGCACCCATGTCTTTGGGGAGCTCACTGCTGCTCTGAACCTGGGGGGCACAGGCAAACACCCACCCTGTCCCAGGCAGCAGGTCACTGGGGGTACCAGCTTGTCCCTGAGGAACCCACAGGAGACTTTCAGTCCTTGGCACTGCCATTGTGGGGAATTCAAGGAAACAACTCCAGACTTCCCTGGAGCCAGGGGCAAGGAAATGGCAGAGACCACATTCAGCCTGCTCCTCACTAAGCATCCCAGCCCTGCCTCTCATCCTGGAAGGTGCTGCCTCCTGCAGTGCCTGGAGATCCACTTTGTATTTCCCTGACTGAACACTCCCCACATCCAGTCCAAACCCAGCTGCTCTCATGGAGACCACACTCAGCCTGCTCCTCACTAAGCATTCCCAGCCCTGCCTCTCATGCTGGAAGGTGCTGCCTCCTGCACTGCCTGCAGATCCACTTTGTATTTCCCTGACTGAACACTCCCCACATCCAGTCCAAACCCAGCTGCTCTCATGCCAGGGCTGCTCCAGGCCTCCTCCCTCCTTCCCAGCCCAGTTGGGCATATTGTAGGAGTGTGACACAGCCCCACTTGCTCTTGCTCTGCCAGGCTGAGGTGAAGAGCTCCTGAGCCTCCTCTCAGAAGACATCCCAGCAACGTCTCTCTTCCTCCTTCAAAACATGTTCTTGAACGTGGGCGACCAGCACTGGAGACAATGTCTGAGGGATGGGTTTGTCACCCAGCCTCTCCACGCAGCAGAAATCCCTCTTGATGCCATCAGAAATGCTGTGACACCCCAGGGAGGTGGGCTGATGATGATGATGGGATGATGTTTCTCATGTCTCGCTTGTGTCACCAGCTCGTTCCTCTCGTGTTACCACTGCACATGGCCAGATCCTTTCCTCTCTTCCCTCATTTCCCAGTGACAGGCTCCCAAGCAGAGTAGACAGGGCTGTTAGCAGTGTGAGCTCTGCTGCTGCCTTTCATTCCCCTTACAACACTCTCTGGTAAAAGGCACCAGCTCCTCCAGCATGATATCCCTAAGCTCTGGGTGGCTGCCACATATCTCCACCACAGGGAGGGCTCTTGGGGAAGGAGCTTCCCTGAAACACCCCAAGGAGAAGCTACAACCCTACAGCTGCCCAGCATCCCCCCTGTGTTACCTTTCAGTCCAAACGTCCCCGAGATGGACGGCTGCTCCCCCGTAAATTTCTTAGGAGTTTTCTGTTTCCTTCCTGACTCAAAAGAGAGAAACAGAGAGAGAGATTTGGTCAAATAACTGTACTGCCAGGGGGGGCTTCAGCAGTCCCAGGGTGGGAGGGGGGGTCACACTCCATGTCAGGAAGGGATCACCTGGAGGATGTCTTTACCCCTGTGAAATACAGGGGCTGTCCAATGAGGCACCCACCCAAACAGTACCAGGCTGCTGGTTCCCACCCCACAAACCAGGACAGGTAACAGCAGCCAGGGCTAATTCAGGGACTGGAAGTGGGGGCTCTGTCTAGTGCCAAAAGCTGTGTAGTTTCCACAGCCTCAGGAGCGAAGGGGCAGCAGTGAAGTCCCCATCCCTGGAGGGGTTCCCAAGCTGTGGAGATGTGGTGCTGAGGGACACGGGGCAGTGGGGACCTGGCAGTGCTGGGGGAAGGGTTGGACTTGATGATCTGAAAGGTCTTTTCCAACCACAACAGCTCTACGCCTCTCCGGGCTCCCGAACCAGCGTAGCCCCGGGCTCTAATCTTACTGTGCTTCATCCTCTCGGGGTCTTCCTCCTGCAGGGAGGCCTGGCTGCCCCCGTGCTGCACGGCATCCTTGCCACTGGAGGACCTGGCAGTGGAGGCCTGCCACGGCCTGGTCGGCGGCGATCTGGAACTCCCTCGGGTGGCGGCTCTCCGCCGGGCACTCCCCGTTCTCTGGGGGGTCCTGGCCCACGCCCTTCTCCGTCTTTGCCTGTTTGGGATGGATGGTGGGGCAAGCTGAACTCTCAGCAGCTCTAGGGCAAAGCACAGAGGGCTTGTTTAAAGAGGGGTCGTTAGCCAGTCGTCCTCACAC